CTAGGCACATCAACTGTAGGCCCAGCTCCACCAGCACAGTCGCGTCTGAAAAATAAAACTATGGATGAGATCATCACTCGCTGGGCAACAGACCTTACGAAATACCAGAAAGAGTTCCAGGAGCAGGCTGAACAAGTAGCTGAATGGGATAGAATGCTAGTTGAAAACAGCACAAAAGTGCAGAAACTGTATGGAAACACGGTTGATGCTGAGAGAGCTACGCAAGAGGTCGAGCGGCAACTCGCCTCCGTCGAGAGCCAGCAGGATGAGCTGAGTTCTTGGCTTGATCGATATGAACAGGAAGTTGAAACTCTGCTATCAAAGCAAGTTGGGACAGGGGACAACCTCCCGGGGCCAGACCAGGAGCGTGCAAGAACGTAAGTTATATTTCACTGCACCCCTTTCTGTTTCCTTTATTTGTTACATTATCCCGTAAAAGCATGGTAACTAACCGTGATGTTGTATAGTTATAAACTTGCCGAGCGCCTTTCTGAACGCCTTAATGAAATGGGCCAGGATCTTACTAGCATGATTGAGGAAGTTAACACTGCGTCTGCAACGCTAAGCAAGACGAGCAAGGCTGATGAACCGGTTTGTACTTCCTATGAATCCCGGGAACATATCAATAATCATATTTCAGAACTAACTTGATATAAAATAGATCTCCCAAATTGTGCGCATTCTTAACTCTCATCTCTCCCAGCTCCAACTCATTGATCAGGGAACTGCTGCTCTTCGTGCTAAAATCACTGCATCTCAAAAACTTGGCAACTCCATCAATGGGTTCAAGACTGGTGCTTCTCGAGGAGTCGGTGGCGGCAGCGGGGGGGCTGCCGAAGACTTTTACCGCTCTTATATGGGACGAAGATAGATTGGGGGTCAAGGTAAACTGTTCCTTTTTTACTTCGTTCATTGAATAACGTTAAACCAGAAGTTTGAACTTGAACGTCAGTAACGTGTACATCTGGTGATTGGGGGCTTTACATTGACAAATAAATACCTTTTCTTTTTTTTACTTTGGGCGTTTTTCAGGTAGAATATCAGAGGAATGATAATTGTTGCTTGTTATCCGGATATTAGCTTACAGCTGCTATCCTCTATGGTACAACGCGTTTTTTTTTTTTTCAATTTGCAAGGCTAGACTACTATCTCAAGCGTAATTTAACGGTTTGATAAAATCAAAATACAGATGCTGAGAGTGGAGAGGTAGTAACCACAGGACTATGTACTAGGGTTAAATGGCAGGTAATTCAAATTCGCATCAACCCTCATGACTAAGAATATACTTAGTTCTGTTCACCACCTTGGTTCTTAGTGATAGAGTCACTAGTTATAACAGAATTAGTCCACACACTCTAGGCAGTATAGCCGAGGGGGAAACATACATGTGGGCATCGAGCTCATCGAGGTGAGCACGCTGCTGCTTCAGCTTCTCCTTGAGAATGAGGAGTCTAGCAAGTGTTAGTGACCCTACTCCACCACCAATTGAACTAAATACTCGGTGTATCATACTTTTCATGCTCCTTCTTCTTCATGTAGAGGTTCTCTTCAGCAGATCCCTTCTTGGTCCAGATGTCACTGTATAAAAGTGGTTAGCGACTTGAGAGTAGAATCGGGCCCGCTGAGGCGTCCGCCCAAGGCACTGGAATGGAGTTGGTATCGTCTACTAACCCGCTATGCTCACCTCCGGGGCGGGGAGCACCGGTAGAGCCCTCTGTCATTCTAACGGCGGCAACGGAGAAAGATCGGGTAGCTGGCAGCCTGCTGGCGCGGAAAGCTGGTCTGGCGAGTTGACGAAACATTGTGAATCGGGAGGTCGACGTAGACTGTCAATAACGGGATGAGCGAGTCGATCTCTTTGGCATTGCACCCTTAGATGGCCAAAGGACGGGGAGGGGGAAAGGAAAGGCTTACTCGTTTGTTGCTTTGTTGTACGTTGAAGTTGAAGCTTGACGTTTCTTTTCTTGTTTTCTTCTTCGTCTCTCTTGGGTGGAGCTGGACTAAAAGGGACTAGCGTGTATAATATATCATGTGATTATGACGTTCCCGGTATATAGTTTTCCCGAAAGATCATGTGACATCTATCACATGACAATTTATGGGAGGCTGAGTATTTCCATGTACAAGCCAAAGCCTTCCAGATGGCGCCTATATCACACCCATATGACATGTTCTTTCTATAAATACTGCAAGGAGGAGGGGTAAGCATCTAGAGGCTTTCCTACACGCACCGTCCAGCCGTGTAGACATCTATAAATGAGGGTGTAAAGCACTCCTTACTCATCCCTTACCTAAGCAAGCTAAACCCGAACGGGGCGGCCAGGCATCTCCACCCGCTCCCCTTTGCGCCTTTGAACATCCAACAAAATCTCACCTTGTTTCCATCCACTTCCACTCCCCTCTGTTTTTTCCCCCAGCAACATCGCTTTCGTCCCCGAACAACTTCTCTCTCAGCAGTCTGTCTCTCTGCTTCTGCCCTCCATATCACTTGATTCCTGTTATTTTTCCTCAAGGTAAGCCGTCTCTCTCCCCTAGGTTATCTCTGGCGTCCTTGCGTTTGTTTCACTTGGGGGGGCTTTTCTACTCTCTTTCAATGCCCTGCCGCGCGCCAATCCCACCAGCACCAGCTGCAGTGGGAACGCAGCCTCTATCCATGTCGCATGCAGTCTACTGGAGCAGATTCTCGGTCGTGTTCGAGCTCTTGATCCTGTAACGTGTTCGATCAGTCCGGTCATTTACCTCTTGGGGGCCGTTTTTTGTGATCTCGGCTGACCGAGGGATCCTGGTCATGGTGGCATGCCCGGCAGCCCCCAGCAGGATCATACACATTCCGCTCTTCTTCTGGCTATAGAGTCGACAGGAGAGGGGGGGAAATTTCGATTCTTATTCATGTACACCGCTGTTCTGTGGCTGAAAACCTCCTTTAACCCCCTATCTCAATGAAGTCATAATCCCTTATTTTTTTTATCTGACCCATCGGGATACCTAGTTTCTAATATCCAATATCAAGGTTATCCATCCAAGCATATAGCATTATACTAACGTCAGACAGCATTCCAGTCCAAACCAGTCACCATGGGTCACGAAGATGCCGTTTACCTTGCCAAATTGGCCGAGCAGGCCGAGCGTTATGAAGGTAAGCGCATACGCATACATTTCCCCCTTTCAACCGAGCCACTAGGCTGACACCCACTTTAGAAATGGTTCAGAACATGAAGATTGTCGCCTCTTTGGATCGGGAACTATCGGTAGAGGAGCGCAACTTGCTGTCCGTTGCCTACAAGAACGTTATTGGTGCTAGACGTGCCTCCTGGAGAATCGTTACCTCCATCGAGCAAAAGGAAGAGTCGAAAGGAAACGAGGCTCAGGTTACCCTTATCAAGAATTACCGTCAGAAGATTGAGGCCGAGCTGGCCGATATCTGTGAGGATATCCTCAAGGTTCTCGATGACCACCTCATTGCTTCCGCCGAAACTGGCGAGTCCAAGGTCTTCTACCACAAGATGTAAGATACGATGCCTTCTCACATTGTTGTCAGCATCTAACAAGGCTCTTGTACTTAGGAAGGGTGACTACCACCGTTATCTCGCCGAGTTCGCTCTCGGTGAGAAACGCAAGACTTCTGCCGATAACTCTTTGACTGCCTACAAGAACGCCACTGAGGTCGCCCAGACTGACCTTGCCCCAACTCACCCCATCCGCCTGGGTCTTGCCCTTAACTTCTCCGTCTTCTACTATGAAATCCTTAACTCTCCTGACCAGGCATGCCACCTTGCCAAGCAGGCTTTTGATGATGCTATCGCCGGTACGTTAAATATGACTTCGATTTTTTTGCTCTCTACTGGTCATGTGGCATGATACTAACCCTATCACCTGTAGAACTCGACACTTTGAGCGAGGAGAGCTACAAGGACTCCACCCTCATCATGCAGCTCCTCAGGGACAACTTGGTAAGAGCTGATATTCTAGCCCTAACTTCATATCACTGCAGTACTAACCAGTCTTATTATAGACTCTGTGGACTTCTTCTGAAGCTGATCCAACCACCGAGGCTCAGCAACCCCAGGGTGCTCAGGCCCCAGCTGAGGCCAAGGAAGAGGCTCCAGCTGCTACCGAGGAAGCTCCAAAGGAGTAGATGGGTTAGGATGAGCATTTAGTTCTAGATCGGAGGAGTTCATGATGCTGTTGCCATTTTCATCCCCTTTTTACCCTCAACCCTCTCCCTCAAACAAAACACACTCACCGCGCTCATCCCCCGGTTTTTTAATTGATAATGTCACTTAGGTTTCTTTCCAACTTTCCCTTCTTCCAAGCTCTGCTACTTTCGAACCCGGAGGGTTGAGACTTTAGTGATGTATTTTTCTTCCTCTCCCTCTTTGTCTCTCTTTCCCTTGCCCATAGAATTACTTTCTTTTAAACCACATTGGCCCTCAAGGGACCAGAGGAGATGACCCCCACCCCCAATGCCTGGAAGAGGAGAAGTGACAACCAAAAAAAGACAGAAAAGAAAAAGGCCTAACAAAAACATGAAAAAAAAATCACCACAGGGAGAAAAAAAGTACCACTACTTCTTTTACCTTTTACCATTCTTACCTACTTACTACCCTTTTTCCTTTATCGCCCCTTACCCGGAAACCCCCTTTCGAAAGTGTTTTCCTCTACCAAAAATAGGTTTGATAGTATTAGATTTTGCGCGTACGTCCACACTTAACACTGGTCCAACGCGGCAGTTTCATATTTTACTTCTTGTGTCTGGCTTTTTAATATTGGTTATGGGGTAATTAGGTGAGGTACAATGAAAAGTATTATCTAGTACTGAGTATCTATTGATTCATCTTGAGGCTCCCCCTGGACTTTGTTACCGCCATAAACTATAGAGAATGCTTCTCTACCCACTTGACGGTAACTAGTTGGCCCAACTATGCCTCCGCTATAATAAAGAATATCTCCCCAACGGCCTTCTCCACCAGATCTTCCATCCCATCTACGGCGTTCACCCAACTATTTCTCCCTACCCGTCTAGGAAAAAGGGGGCTTCTTATACACGATCAAGATCTTCGCCGCTATCTAACACCCATTCGCGGCTACAGCGCCTGTCGACGCCCAATGTCCCACGTTATCTAGTCTATCTGCACGCCTCCTCAACAAACTAGTCAGTGTTCCATATTCAACTAGCTGGAGCAAAAGTAACCAAGCAGCTCCACAACTAGATGGGAATAGTATCTATCCATCTTGACTCGAGTCGCTAAATTTCGAGTACATGTTATATACTGAAAGAGCGTTGGTAAAGTATTGTAAGCACCCTGGACGATCGCACATCACGGTAAACTGCTGCTGGCAGGGATGCACATACACAGACATGGTAAAATGATATCTAGTTCCCGACTGCTCTCGAGAATCCGCGGTGTATCAGTACATATCCGTTTACACGAAACACGTCTTGGATCGCGCGAACAGGGCAAACGGGGAAGAGTGATGACGGCAGGCCGCATATAGCGAGGCACCTCCATGTATGCATGCGCCTTTGAGAGAGAAAAAAGAGAGAAAAGAGAAAAGACGGCGAGTCATATAAGTATTTACGCAAACAGGTTTGAATATGTTGAAGTAAACAGGTTTCTCTACCGAAGTAGGACTTTTGTCTCATACGTATGTATGTCTTGTATAGATGCTGTGTCCTGTTTTTATCTTTGCAGGCTGCATGAGTACCAGACTCACACATGTTCTACTATGTAATATGCATTTACCAGGTTAATCAAGGCCCATCACATCCCCGTATATGCATGTTGTATTAATCTATATGTGCGTGAATTATCTATAACGGCTCTCGTGAGCTTTCATTTAAATAATATTACTCTAATGTACTAGCCAAGAAAAGTAATCTAGAGCTCTAGATGGCAAGGGAGCCCATGGATGGAATAAAATACTATTAGAAAATTAAAAGAAAAAATAAAATAATAGAAAGGATAAAGCTTGTTCCTGCCCGGGATTCGATGGCCATTAGAAAAAGGATCCCATGTAGATTACCCTCCGACTGCCTTTAAAGAGACGTTCACAGGAGTAAAATAAGGGATAGAAAGTGGTTACTTGCCCCTGAACCAGACCGCATATGAAAGCCATTATAGATACAGGCACAGGTTCAACAATATTAAGGCAAGCTGAATAAGATGAAAGGGATGTTGAGTTGTGCGTTTTTGTACCTTGTGTCCGCGAAAAAAAAAAGCACAGTAAAAAGAAGAAAGCAGAAGAAAAACTTTTTTTTTTTCGTTTTAGTTCGTTTGGACCGAAGACACACATCTCCAGCCTGACCCAATCTTGATGTGGAAAATGCATGATAGTAGAGGAAAGCAGAGGGAGTGAAGACGCGGGTAGATGGAGTCGTAAGGTCGTCTGTCCCTACCGGAAAGAAGAGAGGAAGGGAGCTATGCAAGGGAAGCCGGGGAACAGAGAGGTAGTAGCCGCGGTAGCCAAAGGTTGCGTGCATCCAAGAGAACGGACCAAACACATCGTTGTGTTTAAGGACCAAGTGTGCTGCTGGGTAGCTACCCGATGACATCACGCGTATACAAGTACACGCGCAGACGCAGACGCAGACGCATGCACGCCGAGCCAGCAAAAAGACATCCCAAAAGAGCAAACGGGAAAAAGAAACGAGACAGAGGCCAGAGGAAAAAGGAAAGAGGGAGGAAAAGGGGGACAGAAGCAGAAAGCCGTTGGGTCTAACCCAAGGGGAAGCTTACAGCCCAGGAGAGTCTTCAGCCTGTCGGTCAGGGATATGCGTGGTTTTTTGTGGCGCTCTCGTTGACATGGCCGTGATGGTGGTTTGATCTGCGACAGGAAAAAAAAATAGTCATGACGTCGTGATCCGGGATCTGTGATACGCCGGCTACCAGCGATGGTTTGTTTTGGTGTCTATGCTATGGCCCGTTTTTTTCGTGTTTTCGTTTCGTTGGGCATCCAATCCACTGGCCGGCCAAGTAGAAGAGAAGCCAAGCAGCGCGAACAAGTAAAAGTCAGGTGCGCTATTTCCTCATTACTTCACCGGCCGGCCAAAATCCAGGGTTCGGCTTAGTCCGTCATTTTGTACTTTTTTTGTAGTATTTTTGTTAGGGGTATGAACCATGGGAAGTAAGTAAGGGGCATCACACTCTCGAAGGATGCGCAGAAGATGTCGATGAGCGGGTCGAGTCGGGTCACATGGTCTCTCAGCCATGGGTGTGAGAGAAAAACCGCCTTTAACCCCTTTGTTGTCTCTTCTTTGCCCGCCCCAAGAGAAGATAGAAAAGACGAAAAGGAAATAGAGAATTAAGAGTAAAATTAGGTCGTAAGAATAATGTCTAAAAAGAGTTGGAGAGACGTCCAGAAAAAAAGTTGACAAAAAGACGAATGGGGGTATCTTATATCGCGGCCGATCATTTGTTAATGAAAAATCAAACCCCATCGATATTCAAGACCGCAGCCAGAAGTACAAGCGTCAAGAAACAGGAAACCAAAAAAAGAAAAGAAGTTGAGCCCAAGAACAGTTGTCTGACCTTGATGGAGAAATAGAAGGGAAAAAAAAAAAAATAATTTCTAGCGCCCTGTTCTGTTGTCGGAGAGAGAAAAATATGTAGCATCATAGTGTATGGCATCACATAGCATAGCATCACAAGTCAGGCAGAGGGTAAATGGTGGCGAGAGAGGTGAAGTGGTCTGTGGTGACGACAGTTTCATATTCGAAAGGTTGTAGTTCAAGTGTGAGAAGGGCAACGGTATGTGGAGGAGGAGAGAGTGTCGGCTTATGCTAATGATGCTGTTTTGTTTGAAAAAAAAAAATTCATAAAGCGTAACCGGGTCATCAAGTAATAGGACAGGGGTGTGATGGGGAAAATAAAAAGGTGGCGCAGGGATAAGCCATGCTGCTCTGCCCTGTGTGTCAGTCATCCCTTGTCCGGCACGCCATGTGTGGACAGCGTTGGAGAGGGATAGATATAGTTAGAGCGGTGTACTATGGAAGGTGGCTGGGGCTGGAAGTAAAATAAAGTGCCGACCTTCACAGCTTCCGGGTTGAGTATGCCGAAGCGGTGACGAAATCTTTACTTCTGGGACTTCTTCCCCTTGCCTGCGCCGCTGGTCGAGGTAAGTTCGGTCTTTGTGGACATGGTCCTGGTCAAACCACCAATATAGTCCTGTAGGAAGCGATTTTCGTTCTCCAGCTTATCGTGATCTGATTTGACCTCATCAATTCGTTCAGCCAGCGCCTGTAAAGACGACTGCAGTGTCTTTGCTTGCCTAATATTCCGTAATCAGTAAAAAACACAAGAAGAGAACAAAAAAAGCAGCGTGCCCTGAGCAACTTACTCCTGGAGTGTATGTCTAGCTTGTGTGCCCAACTTCTCGACATCTGCCGAATTTCTTCGCGGACTCATCGCACGAGCATCATCTGGTGGGAACTCTTCCTTCTCTATCTCGATCTCAGGGTGGTCACGGGGTACAAGTATCGAAGCGCTGGGTTTTCTGCTGGCGATGCGGGGACGGTCTGCCCTCGATTTCCGCTCTGGCTCTGTATCTGAGGCTGAGGAAGAAGAAGAGGCAGGTGAGGGATGTGAATTCTCGTTGTCACGGTTGGCTGTGGAGTGGTTTCCATTGGTTGTACCGTTGGAGTTGCTGTCATTTGAGGCGGGAGAAGGCATTGAGCTGATGGGGTCTGAGGAGTTGTAGAAGCCGGTACCAGCAGCCATGATGCTGCAGGCGAGGAGTCGAGTTCAATGGAGATCCTTAGTAAAACGGGTATTGGTAGTGAAAGAGGAAATGAGCGGTGGTAGCTTCGAGTTCTTGGGTGAAACGAGGGAGTCCACAGCCTTAATATCAAAAGGGACAGTACGACTGATTTAATCAATGATAAGAGAGAGATACGGAGACAACGTCTGCCGGGGAAGGCCAGTGAAGGAGTATCCTGTCTGTCAAAAAAGAGGGTAATCAAGTATGTCCGTAGCAGCTTGCTGAAGCTTCAGATCTCTCTCTCTCTCTCTCTTACACTCTCTTCCTCTCTACCTGCAGAGAAGAAGGGAGATATGATCAAGAGTAGGAGGTGGGAGTGGCTTTGAAGATGGAGTCAAATAGACAAGTAAACGAGCCAGCCGCTTGACAGAGAGCGGACGGCAGTTTAGATATAAGAATTGAAAGTGAGGATAAATAGAAAAGGAAGAAGCCCAAGAAGTAGAAGTAGAAAGAAGAAGTAGAAAAAGAAGAAAGACGAAGAGCGCCGAGGGAAGAAGCCGCACTTTGTGTTGACTTGCTGAAAGAGCTAAAAGGGCGGTCCTGGCCAATCAGAGCACGGCTATAGTGGAGCCATATGAACGAACCCGTAACAAGCGTTACAGACTGTATTTTATGATGTAAGAGCGCGTTTGCAGGAAATACCTTTTTTTTTTTTTTGATACGGCGTATTTTGGGGGGGTGATATGGGTTTGTGGCAGGTTGAACAGCGAGTTTCTGGTGGAAGGATGACACAAAAGGCGACTGGGCAGACACGACGAGACACAGGAGGACACGACGGCTCTGATGGGACGGGGAAAGGCGGATGGGGGATGCAGACAGGCGTCTTGAAGGAGACGAGAAACCACAATGCACTACGGGACAAGCAGCTGGTCGTGAACATGTATGTGAGAACCCGTCAGGACAGAGGCAAGGTGCATGTCCGGTCACTATCCGGTCGAATAGTAGCAGGTTATAGCAGCCCTCGGCCTCGTACCATTTTCCACTCGAAGAGAGAAGAAGAAGAAAAGCTCCATATGTATTACCTCAACTTTTGCAACACAACAAGCTAACTAACTACACGTCAACAGATATCAGCGATGCAGGCTGGTCCCAGCTAGATGGATCATGGATCATGCATGGTGGGTGAGCAAGCGCTTCATCGTCTTGCCTTTTCTCCCCTCCATCAAAAATCCACTGGTCTTGCGCCGTTGAAGCGAGCAAGAGGAAACGGACCGGGTTACAAGCCTCACCGTTGGATTTTTTATTTTATTTTTTTTTTTTAAAAAAAAAGGACCAGCATATAATATAAATGATCTTTCCTGTTCTTATCCGAAATATATACATGCATGATATGATATCGAACGCTCCCTGTTCTTAGCCACATACTTTCGGGATGCACGGGGCCTTCTCATGTATCATCAGCATACTGACGCTCTCCAACGGCCGGGGGAAAGGGGGCGAACCTTCTCTCCATTTCTCCTTTTGCTCTCTCTCCCCCTTCCTGAAGCTCGATCAGGGACAGTGGTGCCATGGGGAAGATCGGTTATAGATATATGTCCGTGCTCTGGTACTGGTGTGTATCAAAAAAATATACAAGACAAATCGTCATATCGTCATCCATCCACAACCACACCATGTTGACCCCCTGTTGATCTACAAACTCTCCACCACTCAGAGACAGACAAATCCACAAAGCAACTCCAACTCTTTTGCCATCCATCCATTCCAAGCTGATTCATTCGGCCGTCGCGTACGGAGGTCCCAGGAAATCAATCCAGCGACTTCTTCCCTCTACCACAATTCCACCCCGTTTTCCCTTCTACTTTTTTCAGCCTGCTCCAGCACGTCCATGGCAAACGGTGTTATCCGATGCGCCAAGTCTGCTCTAAACTCCGCCGGCATGGCTATAGCGTAGAATTCGCTCTCCAGGCATGGCTCTCGATGTACCACGACAATCAACTACTTATGTCCTCCATCCCTAGTGTAAATATATATACACACGCTCATGTAGAAGGTTGCCCGTATCGGCCTTTCTTAACCTTCATTCCTGCCCTTCTGCAGAACATGCACGGTTATCTCTTCTTCTGGAAACTTTCTACGCCCTGTTGCTGGCGCTCGCGTTGGGCTGTGACTGAATTAAATAGGTAGGCAGCCACCTCCACCCACCACACCACCAATTCTATCCAGAGTACATTCAAAGTTGTTATAGTTTAAAGTATAAAAAGTCGAGGGTACAGGGTGGGGGGATCCTTGACAAGTACCCGGCTATAGAAAAGAGCTATTTTATTTTTTATTTTTTCCCACACTCTGTCCACCAAATCCATCAGGAATCGAATTAACCTGCACTTACTCTTGTCTTTTTTTTTTTTTTATTTTACGTTCCAAGAATCCCTTTTTCCTTCCAACATGGTTCTGGAAGATGATCAGATAAGTGATCTTCAGCAATATCAAGAAATGGGTGGACATCTTGCTGTTCAGCTCCCTCTTTTTTTCCTTGCTTTTACCCCGTACATGGTTAATCTTTGTTCGACTTGTTTTTTTCGGCGCTGTATTCTTGTATTCCTCTACCCACCGTGAATATGGAGCTCTCCCTCTCAACCACTCCTTGGGACCAGAGACGAGAAGGCAACGACTGGAGGTAAGGGCCAACCTTATTCAAGCAATTAGCTTTCTCTGTCGTCTGACAGCACGCCATCGTCTGGTCGATAAAGCATATTCCGTCCCTCTTGGGCGTAGTTTGAGCGATAAAAAAATCTGGTACTCTATGTGCTCTCCGTAAAAAAAGGGCAGAAATTTTTTTGGGTTAAAAGAGGGATTGGCCCCTTGTTAGTGTCCAAGTTTTGTGGATAGGGATGGAGCCTATTTTCGAGCGTGCTTTCCCCCCTTGAGAATAGTAGATTTGACCCAGGCATGGCATTCAAGTATGTTTTATATATCGATCATGCTGTTGAGAGATAGCTGCCTCTAGCTGAGAGCCCCAGTTTGACAAGTTATATAGATGAGGCGTCGTTGGCGTGGGGTTGAACTCCGGATATGTATCAAAGTGGCCTGTGAGGAAATTTTGTGTTAAGTTGCCGATCCATGATGTATGCTGATCAATGCTCACAATCGCAATAATTCGTGGAGTACATATCTAGTTGTCATTTGCTTCCCAAGCAAGTATATACTGCAGTTGGAAATTTTCAGCTGTAGGGGAAATTTTTTTTCCCTACCTCTTTCTAACGTTTTGAGAGAACTCGATCCAGCGGCAAACTGACTATTAGTGGCAGGTGATGATGCCCACCTCTCGGCGGCTCTCATCGAATAACTGGTTGAGAGTCGAAGGGTGCGAACAGACGTCAAAAAGAGCGGCAAATATGTTACATGGGCTCCGTACACCCCCTTACTATGTAATTAGCATTACTGCAGAGTAAAGTAATTTCACAGCTTTAAGACATTTATAAGCATCAGTTGAGGGACATTTTCCAAACCGATCAACGTCTGATGAAATTCTGTTTCGCTGGGCGAGATGATAAGCGCCAACCCAACCTGGCAGATGGGGTTGCCTTGCCTTCCTTTCTCCGTATACAAGTATACGACCTGCTGTATAGAAATGTAATGCCACCCCGTTTCCCCACCGCCTCCAGAGCCTAGTTTGCCCAATACTCACGCTGGCCCTGCCAAGCGGCCGCCCATGTTAAGTAGGCATGTAAAGTGAAAAAATAAAGTCAAGTTAAAAAGGCAGGCCAGCTTATCACCCCCGTGTATGTCCTACTCTCTTGTTAGTTCTGAGACGGGCTGGGGAGACGGGCTGGGGAGAGAGAGGTTTCTTCCTCCTTCGGGCCACTTATCCCGATCATCGTCATTCGGCTGCCGTCATACGGCGATATATACGTCATAAAAAACTGGAGCATTTCCTGACGATCGTTTGCCTGTAGCGTTCAGGTTGCTTTAGTACGGGCTTTTCCCGGGGGAACACGCCGTCTCGTGTATCAAATACAGCCATTCGCTAGCAAAAGGTACGTGGTGTCTGGAGTATGGAGTACTTTGAAGAAGGGGGGGGAGTAAGAAAAGTCGAGGATGAGAGCGTGACTCTGCCTCCACCAGGATAAAACCTCCTGCGACGAGCCTCGTGAGGCGAGAAGGCGAAATAGCGGTAAGCTGCCGTCCTCTCGTTCACGGTGACTTGCTGGCCTGGGGGCGTCAAGTTATGAGGTCGTGCCAGCCTAAATTGACCGGGGGAGCGATGCAAATAAAAAAAGGGGGGATATTATGATCGTACATAAGTAAAGGAAGAATGAAAAACTTCGCTGCGGTTCATCTTTCTCTTCCGAGAACGTACCGGAACCGGGTTTACATAACCCCGTCGGCTTTGTCATCAAGCGGGAGAAACACCTTGAAATTCCAAGTTGATAAACTCGCCGGGAACTTTGCTGCTTGATGCCTGGTCAGCCTTTTTGGGTTGTTTATCTCGCATGAACGAGGGAGAGGAGAGACTGATGTATCGCTACCTGACTTACTTTTCCTCGATGCGGGTGTTCTCATCGAAACGAAGGTGGTACTAGTGAATACTAAAACTACGTGCATAACAGCCTGCATCTCATCCTGGACGACCAGGCCGCAAGCCTGCATATACGCAAACGCACGAACACGCTCGCCAATTGACCGGGAAATGAGCCTAATGGAGTTAAACCAGTCATCCCACCATGCTTCCGTCTAGTGAAGCACTTGGCGGTTTTCAAATATATGCCATACGGACAAGGCGGAATGGATGGGAGAGGGAATTGAGAACCCAGGGGTCCAAGGGTGATCGAGCTGTATAGTCCATCAGGTCCGAAGAGGGGTATATATACACATATATATACATGCGGAGTATATTCGACCGTGGCTGTCTAAATATATACATTCATGCAGATGCAGCTGTCACCACGCGGGATCACTTTCCTGTCGTCTCGGCCAGCTACATCAACCATTTGCATATGTATACATATATGCGCTCCCCATTACAGCAAAGGTTCTTCCGATAATCCCTGGTACTATTTGGCATCTGGGCTGAGTTTTCCATGCATTTCCCGTCACTGGGCACTAACCACGTTGCATCTTCGGCAGGGGAGAGAGGAAGCTGCCGTCACCTCGTCTCCTTGTGCGGCCGCTCACTCCTCCTGGTTGGCTCATCGGTTAATGGGAATACGAACGGCTATTGACTCCCTGTAAGTCTCTGAACTCTACTCTAGGATGAGAGTTTGTCTCTGTATGGCATGTGCCCAAGGGTGGTTACGCTGGCTGGGACATCACCATTAGTGCGAACATGTGGATCGAGTTGCCTGTGTTTGGCCAAAACACTGTCCAATTTGAAGGGCTGGAAAAAGAGAAACAGATTCAACCCATATTTATTCAAATTGGAACCCCTCAAGAACGACGGCTCCGTGGTTGAGCGTGTTCTATTTCGTCAGTGTTTCTTCATTTTCAAACAAGGCTAGATAGTGAGCACGTCTCAGCGAGCTATTTAGCCGCAGTAATCTCATCTCCATGCGCTTTCTCTTGATATCTGCATCTGACCACTTTCCACGCCAGTGAGATGCATCAGACATGTCCAACATCACACAGGGTTGGAATCACTGCATTAGTTGGACAAGAACCGTCCATTATCTTCAAATCAAGACGACCGGATCAAGTAGACGGTTTCCTTCGAGGGTATTGCTCGCTAAGATGGAAATATGTGAATCATATGCCGTTTCCCTGTCCTATGTGACATAGCTATCCGGCCTGTTCATTGTAACCCAGGTGGTTTCTGTGCAACAGGATATTTTTTTTCTTCGAAGAATGCTCCCTGTGCTATCAGATAGGGACTCCCGGAGACTTTCTTCGTTGGCCTTCGCACATAAAGCCATGGGTCGCGGTGCTCAGATCGAGCTTGGTAGGCAATATCTCGATACCCATCCCTGGGAGGCTTCCATGGCCTAGCTATATATGCTAGATCTTGCGGAAAACATCATTATCGTGTATCACAAGGTGCGGAGAACTGGCATTCGCTTAATATCCCTAGCTGCAAAGAGCTGGTTACTCAAAGCTATGTTCCACCCGCAAGAAGCGGCTCCGTTTATGATGAAGCTTTGGCGCGTGTACATCAGCTTTTGACGATCACAGAGATACGTCTATACATGGCAGGCCAATACCAACCAATCCGAACCTGTCGTGCGCTGTTGGACAGACCCGAACCTTCCGAATGTGCATCTAATAGTTCATATCACTCTTGATCAAACGAACGACTGAAAATGTGGTGGGGGGGAGAACACGCAAAGGCCAGGCGGGAGGAGACGGAAGAGACACCGGAAAGGGGCGAGAGAGATTCTATGTCCTTCCATCTCTTCGATTATTGCTCCTCTGCCATGTCTCAGCCCGGATATGTTGCCCGCAAGGGTTAACTCCTTGACGCATCAGGTTTTTCTAGCTCCGACCTCCGATGTCCGGAAGAAGTTCATAAACAAAGCGGTCTATGCACTCTGCGTCGAACAGCGGGAGAGGAGGCCTGCTGTGTACGGAGTACCAGGGATCAAAGTACTGTGAGATGTATACCCCATGCGATGCATCAAGCCAACTATATAACAGTAATACAATCTCTCGCCTACTCCGGCCCTGCAGGCTAACTCCTGCGGGAAGCACATGGTGCGGCTAAGTGGTCATGTATACACCCCCACCCTGTGATCGAAGATAGAAATGACCAGGCTTACAGGCCAGGGAGAGAAATAACGAGTGCCTAAGCGAATGAGCACTCAATCGAAGCCAACTCTCAGTATCCACTACGGAGCCCATCAATATATTCTGTACGATATACGGAGTTGAAGGGTTAGGCTAGCGAGAATGTCGGATAGAAACGATGCATGACTAATATGTACGTCTCTCATTCCTCTTGTAGTAGAAGGGAGCGTGGGTGGCTGATATCAAAATAGCACCTCACCCATGGAAAGTCAGCGCTTGATTGATCCGTCCTACCGATCCATGCCCATGGGTTGAGATCTTACCCTTGCATGCACGATTACTTATCGCCTAGGGATGGTGATTTTTTGTTTTGATAGTAAGAAGCCAGACCCAATATCTTCTTTTTTTCCTTCGCCCATCGTTTAGTTAATTTGCTTCTGTTCCTTTTCTTTTTCTTCCCACCTTCTCTCCTCCCTTGTTTGCTTTCTTTTGCGGCCCAAGAACTAAAACTGGATGCGCCCTTTTTGATCCCTTGTTTCCACTTCCCAGGCAGAAAGAGGCGATTCCATTTAAAGCTTAGCGTCAGCCTTTTCGCTAGGCTTGGCTTGAGCTTCCTTCGGATCTGATATCGAGCTAACAGCACTTTCAAAGGAGTTTGGTCTCTCTCGCAGGAAATACGAACATGGGCGTACATAGCACTTGCAGATTACTATGTATGTCCTCTGTTTCTCTCCTCAACGAAGCCACATTCCTCTATGCTTGGCGCCGTCCAGGTGCGCGGGTGGGGACTGGCGTATACTACCAATATCTCGCAACCGCAGACGCCGCCTTCTGGTCATGTCCTTAACTACTACTGGGCCCTGAAAATTTTGAATAAAAGCCGCAAGCCCAAACTAATAGGAAGAGGATGACGGTCGAAATGCTCTCTCTCATGATACCTCGCTGGCCTCTGGCTGATTATCCGTCTCTCTGGCCTTGCTGTGTTTGTTTTTTTTTCTCTTTGACGCACCACTGGACCTGTTCCTGGGCCATTTAGATCATGACTATACCTAATGTCCCGAATACCTTCCTTTAATGTATCCTTTCATAACGTCACAAGGCTTACTGTGAGTGGGTTACCTCTCCCTTTTTTTTTTTTTTTTTTCTTTTTTTATTACCCGGAAAATGGTCCCATACCAATCATCCGTCAGTATGGAATACTTTCTGTTCACACTATCATCATACTCCATATGGCTCCAAATTTGGCGCTTTATCTCTAATCATGGCAACAATCTTGATTCCCCCTGTTTTACCTAGGTTGAGCCATGTCAGCAGAATGGACGATATGAATGCCGTCTTGGCTGCCAGCTTATGTCTAACCATTCCTCCTCAACACCTTCCTACCGGAGATATATCAACGTCACTGTGGCCATGACACCCAGGATTTACGAGGTTGTCTACCACGCTAGTTCTGGATCTACGGACAGCCGCGCCTTTGATGTATTCTAGACATCACAGCCCGCCATTTCATAGCCTGTATGCAACTAGATGATATCCCGTGGACCATTCATGACCGCACTTAACCCTTTCACCGAGCGTTCCGGCAACCAGTAGCCATCGAATTTCTTTTTCTAAGACGTTGCGTAGGCCCCAAGGCCGACCAATCTGCCACCCATCTTCTTTTGTGGCTTTCCCACTGGTTCGAATTGCTTTTACCATGCTATCAATGCCCCCTCCGCGGGCAAATTTGTAGAAGCTTTACTGGAACCGGGAACACGGCTCAGGTTCCAGCCCACCGTTTCAGTGGCTTTTTTTCTGCCTTTCGCTTGGGTGCATATTTTACGTTATGGGGGTTGGAAGAAAAGAACAGGGCTTTTTGTTGGAGCTTGCTGCGGGCATACTAGCTCATAACGGGATGTTAGAACTTGGAATAATGCCTCCTTTACATGGCATTTCAGCCATGTATTTTTATAACTGTTTGGATTGCAGGATAGATAAAAGGAACTGCCCCTTGCTGTACTCTTTTCTGAGACCCATAGTTATGGTTCATGGAAATGAACAGCTTTGCTCTATCAAAATGAACTTTTCCGATCAGTCAGCCTTGGATTTCGTGTTACTTCCTCACGAATATGGCTCTGTCTCTCATAGGAAGTCCATTCTTCCAAATGGCATCATCGAACATCAGCCTTGGGCACAGTTCAGTTGGGTTCAAGTAACCCTCTTGATTATGTTTCTATGGCCACTGATCGTGGCGAGTCTACGGTACTCTCGAGAGAGGCAAAGGAGAAAACGCTTCTATTTCCCTACCAGAGAGTCCTTCGCCAAGATGACAGTTCGTGATGCCTGGGCTATCCAACTAGACCTCATGGACACTGAGACTTCATCTATCTTCATGCTTGCACTTAAGTTTGCCATCTTCTCGGTAAGTTCAGATGCAATCACTTCATCCATGTCAAGTCCTTGCATACGTACATAATCCTAGAGCTATATGTGCTAACCTATATATCCATGGATATGTATAGGTCAACGGCATACCTTCCATCTCAAGCTTGTTGGTCAAGACAAATAAGCTCCCTTCAGAGCGTGTTCATCTTCGCTATTCTATGACTTCGGTAATGATAGCAGAATTTCTCGCCTTTCCTCCGGATGACGAGAGGGCATTACAGGCAATATGTCGAATGAACAATATCCACCAAACCTACCAAAAAGCAGGCAAAATCTTAAATGATGATCTACTATACACCCTTGGACTCTTCGCATATCTTCCAGTCCGGTGGGTTGGTAAATATGACTGGAGGGAACTGACTGACATGGAAAAGTGTGCTCTGGGTACCTTCTGGAAGGATATTGGAGACTGTATGGAAATCGATTACTCTGCTCTCCCCTCATCCAAATCTGGCTGGAAAGATGGTCTGCACTGGCTTGAGGAGGTTACCGAATGGGGTGATTGGTATGAACAAAAGAACATGGTTCCCAACATTAACAACCAACGTGTGGCCCTCTCCGCCATTGATATAATACTCTATACCGTCCCTAATTTCCTAAAGCCGACTGCCAAAAAGATGGTTTTTGCTCTCTTGGAAGACCGGATGATAAAGGCTTTAATGTATGTCCCCTACCAATACTCTAAACCGTATATCATTTACTATTCTAACTCAATTTTCAAAATAGGCTGCCTGAACCTTCCAAAGTATATAATTTCTCTGTTAACACCGTTCTCGATGCTCGGCGTTATATAGTCCGCTACTTCTTTCCACCACGTCCTTCATGCATGCGTTTCCAGCCACTGAGCCCAAAACCAGACGAGAATGGAAGATACTACTTACAAACCTATGATTCAAAACCTTTCTACATCAAACCAACATTACTATCTCGCTGGTTTTCCCCCACTGCAATTATTAGGAGGGTCCTTGGCCTTCCGTTACCTGGTGATGGTGGCAACGAGTATTGTCCTCGCGGATATCGATTGGAAGAGTTAGGCCCATCATGGATTCTAGCGAAAAAGAGTATCGAGCACGATGTTCGAGTCGCTAGGAAAAAGTTGAACAAGAATCATACCACCGGCTGCCCCTTTGGGTGAATGCTTGTTTGTGCTTCTCTCGGATCTGGGATATTGAATGGGTTAAGGGTTAGGGTATATCGCAAGGTAGGTAATTGGCATCTTTCTTTTCTTTACTTTCTTCTCTTCTATTATTATCTTGCTTCCCTTTCTTTCTACCTCTGAGGTATGTTAATTCATATACATTTATATCTGGATTTATAACTCCAAAAATTAGTATATAGCTAGGAAGTTGGAGAGTTGTTGTTTCAACTCTACGATTTTTATTTTTACTTATTTCCCCCCTTTGTTTTCCTACTCGACTGTTATTGTTTTTCAATATTTGTGTATAAGGTGGTCTACAATAAATATAGTGAAGGATAAACATTTAGCTGGGCTAATTATCAAGGCGTCGTTTCACAAACTTGCGTAGTAAATCAGGTATTTCAATCATAAAAATCTATTCGGTAATATTAATGATACGTTAAGAATAACCAGAGACACCTATACACCTACGTCCATTTGTAAGACGTCTCGTATCCCAGCTATTAAACACCCCCTCGAAAGCAAAGTGGATGGCCACAAACACCCCATGTACAAACGGCATTACTTACCGCAAGGCTGGTCCAAGTCAGCGCCTTAGTGAAGGTGTTGTTTCCCATTGATATAGGGCCTTGAACACTGCGAGTGCTCCAGACTGTGTTTCCAGAGTACGGCCCCTGCCACGATCATTTACATCCTTCAATACTTTAAAAGCCCCAGCCTCAGGACCAGCATTGCCTTCTTCGAACTTGGAAGCTGTAGAGTCTTGGTATTCATCGGTGACAGGCAGCAGCTGACCCTCAACAATATCGCCGGGAACTTCCTTGGCAAAATTGGTTCGGTTTCCTTTAGCCTGTAGGAAGGCAAGGTCAGGGCTGGCACGATTAATTGGAGGATCTGAGTTGCTGTAATCCACGGCACCATGCGGCAACACAACAGTATCATTCGAGTTCAGCTCGCCATCGGCATATTTGGGACCCCACCACATTCCATAATGGCCTTTCTCATTTTTTGTGACAGACGCAGCGTGAGCATTGTGTTCCAACCAGTGTATATATGAGGCACAAGTTCTCTGGTGCCAACTAAAAGACTCTCTTCGATATTCTTCGCTCGTGTTATCGCTATTTGTAGACTTATATAGAGCTGGATCAGAGAGCATCCTCTTCTCCTGGGGGCTAAGTTGTCGACAAAATTCTGCAAAGTGATGAAAAAATATGCCTTTGAAAGTTTGGCCATCCTGTGAACACATTCCACTACTGTCACATGCCTCTTCTAAGACTCCTGCCCTCCCCAGTCCATGCCAAGTGTGATTCGACGTCACTGGCCAGCCGGTGGCTTTTATCACATTTTTGACGAGGTCATGGCCGTCTTCAAGATAGAACTTCTGTCCAGTTGCTAGCCAAAGACCCCTGAGCCCGCTCAGAATAACCCCTTGGTTATAGGTATAGACCATTGTGTTCAGAACATCACACTTTCTGGTTCCGGGGTCTTTCGGCGTCCATCCATAAATGTGGAATCCATCAGCGTACAGGCCGTCAGCTCCAGTCATATTTGAGCCTTTCAGCCACTTATAGGCTGTTATAGCTGCATCAAGATGGACTGAATCGTGGGGCGGACTGATAAACCCATTTCGGAGTTGGCTTTCCACAATTGGCGAGTCTATAGTATCACCCGGAAAGTAGAGGTACATGGCGATACTGGCTGATATGAACAGTTCGTTTGTGATAGCATTTTTGTATGGGGTAAGCCAAGGGCTCCAAATCATACCACCACCGCAGAGTGATGTATTCCATCCCTGCACGGCCAAATCATAGAATACCCGCGCTCGGTGTGCCGCAGGAGCTCCATACTGTGTTCCATGCCACGAATGGTAAGGGTTTAACTTGCTGTCGAGATGGCGGCCAAAGTGTAACTCAGAATGCAGATTTTGGAATTTAATGCTTTCCAGCCATTCCAAAACAACCCATAACATGTCGTCATACGCCTGCAGCCGTATTCCAAAAAAGTTCTCCCCATGCCAAAAGGCAGAAGTTTGCTGAAAGTAATAACTGATGAGGTTCTCTGTGGATAATGTATCATCATCGCAACGAGGCTTAAGAATATCATCAGCCCTAGCTGTGTCGATTGTGGAGGACAATAGAGATAGCACAGATGAAATGTGCGTATTAACAACTGCTTTGGTCCAGTCAATACCGCTTGGCCAGGTTGCCTGCCAAAGGCTGAAGTAGTCCGACTGCATCACATCAAGAGTGTCAAGCATTATCTTGAGTGTCCTACTAGTTGGAATGGGTTGTTTAGGGAATGGTTCTTGTTCGTTATCCGAGTAATCGATACCGGCCATCGGATCCGTACCAGCTAAGGGGGCCTGCTGGTCGCCATTGATTATGACAATCTGCTGCGAGATACCATCACTGGCTGGATCGAAAGGGACTGCCGAGATACTAGCGCACAAAAGAAGGAGTGCCAGTACATATAAAAATGCAAATAGGGGAATTCTAAAGAACGAGTGGTAACCACCAAGGAGCCATGGCTGAGTCGAGTGCATCCTGACTTGTTGCAGTTCCGGCTGAACAGATGGCTTCTGTCCTTTCACAAGCCGCGAAAAGAATGAAATACCCCCCAAAAAAGATGAGAAACCCAGGCTGTTATAGCCAGCAGAGGAGGATGTCGGGCTTTCTCATCAGCAGTTTTGCTTGCTCGTGTGACCACCTTGAGATGTATATAAGGGCGATAACTCGTGACAAAAGCTGCATTGGTGAAAACTAGTCAAGCGTACCAGCATCTGCTCAGATGCGTCGTCGCATGAAAGTTGTCACCAGCTTGTTGAGTCTTGTATGTGCGCTTTCTTCTCTTCTTTTTTCATATCTAAGGAAGCCAACAACCTGAAGTCGTTTTTTTGCGAAAGAAGCAGCCAAACTAGCACTTACGTAAGCACCATCAGCTGGATTATCGGATGCGCTTGGCTACAGAGCACCACAGGATGGATGGCCAAGTAGAAATGAGAAATTACAGCAGGCAGTGCAATAAGCCCATGAACAGGTGAGCCATCTAGCCATTTGGTTTGGAGTCAACAGTCGTCAGGAGTGGGAAAACTGCAGAGAAAAAGAGAGTATGTCGAGTACCAATGGAGACTGCTGAGATAACAAGGCATTCTACAAAATATATCTGCTCTGACCAGATTCCGGGGGTGGCAATGGGGCTACCCAAGCGGTAAATGTAGGTTATTGCTACCGGCTCAGTGGTTTTTTTTTTAGGAAAGTGGCCAACTATCGCAGAGATGGAGTGGCTTGTCTATATGGTCTCAGAAGAGAAGGTGATATCAATTTGACATGACTAACATGATTGTTAGACTTAGTTGGCCAGATAAAGCTAAAGCAACCAAAAAGGGCCCGACATTAAACGCACCTATTTTACTTAGATGACAAGGAGCCGACATAGCCCAAAGACACTCGAGTTATGGAGACTAAGGGCCACCATGGTAGTGTTAGCCGGGTGAAAGGGCATAGCCGGCAATTCCACATAGGAGGCCCCTAGTCCTTTATCCAGCTGTTAACGTTCAGTTTCGTTAATTCGAATTGTGTACGTAGGCGAAAGTAACAGTGACGAAAATCAACGACTATCCCAGTCGTTCTCGGTCGAAAATCCATCTCAATCACGTTACTATTCACCCATGAACATCATCAAGTTATTCTTCAAAGACCACTAAGATCGATTGTTATTCCCCTCGGGGCTGCGACTTCTTTCGCGGCTCCGGCTTCGTCCCCTGTTTCCACCACGCCCGCGGTTTGAATTCTGACCACCCCCGCCAGGTTTCCCCTTGGATGAAGGCGGGGGCCTCACGAAAGCGAAGTCGACTTCTATTGTTTGGTCAAGTAATTTGGCGCCGTGCAGAGCCTTTATAGCTGCCTCTGCTTCCGGGAGGGTGGGGTATTCTATCAACGCGTAGCCCTAGAAGGAGTCCGAATAATATTAGTTCAACAATTACAGGTCAAAGATAGGAGGTAGTAAAATAAATAACGAGATGGGGTACATACCTTCACGTAACCTGTCCGTCGGTCGAGGTTTAAATTGAAGTTCTTGATATCACCATACTCGGCGAATAGATCTGTGACATCTTCTTCTGATGCTTCTTCGTGTATATTCGTCGCAATGATAATCCATCCTTCAATACTGCGCACTGCTGCAGCTGAAGCGCGGGTGCGCGGCTCAGACCCAGTTCCAGTGGCATGCTGTGGCTCTGGAGAGAGCGGAGGGTCAACTTCCATTTCCCCAGACATGTTTTCTTTTGTCTCTATTTGTCTTTATTGCAAAATGTCCACCAACTTTGAATCTGGCTGTTTCATCAGGTGTATATATCCCTCTGGCCTGTCGTGAGATTTTGAGGGGTGAAGAAGCAGCAGCTTGGATTTAAAGGTTTTTGGTGAACTTAAGTGGCTTTGATATTACTAGTCATTTATTACGTAATCAAATTTATTCTAAGTCAACCTTTCAAATTTGATTTGAAAGAAGAGCAAGAAGTTGGATGAGTTTATATATTAAAGATTTGATGAACATGGGTTAAATATATGGCTATATATTACAGAAATTGCCAGAAGAAATATTAACCAGGGATGTGGAAACGTGGATTTCATAGAAACTCTTCACCACACGTTGGACTTACGACGGCCAATATCATATATGCCCATGCATATAATATAGATATATATATCCAAATCATGTCACACGATATATATTCAACTGGCCAACGTCTATTGGGCACCAGCGGCCTTGATGAGGAATTTCGCTGCGTCGTCTGCGACTATGCCATACTTCGAATGAGCGTCGAGGTCGAATCCGTTTAGGCAAACTGGGTCTCCAGGAAGGCAATATTTCTTTGTCTTATCGGGGGAGATATTGACAAAGGGGGCAAAACGGCCTGGATCGCCGAAAACTGCAAGCGCTGACACGCCTTTCGGTGTCAACACTGCCGCGGCATGAGTGACCATTGCACCCTGGGAATATCCAGCGAGGACAACTTTGCTGTCAGGGCATTGTTCAAGCGATTTCCTTACAAGTTGAGACATAATTGGGCCGCCGTTGAGGCCTAGGAGCAAGTTTCCCTGTATTATGTGATATCATTAGTGAAATGATGCTATAGACCTGCATACTAACTGCAGTCTGTGGTGTCGGCACGGCTTTCCAGCGTTAAACAAAGAGAACATACCTCAGGGGTGGCCTCATAATTGACACCTTGAATTATCACTTTATTCCCTGTCTGAGCTCGAAGGGCGGCTGCAAGCGGTCTGCCAATTACTTTACCCATATTTCCCCCCTCGTTGGTTCCACGGGCAAAAATCATCGTCAAAGGTTGACATGGTGCATGATCCAGAATTCCATTTTCCACGAGTCCCTCTTCATCTGTGGATTCTGTTTCAAAATTCATTTCTTGTTGATGCCTCAAAATTTCGTTGAGCCTGCCCACAGCCTGGAGTATTAAATTAGAGGCAGACTGCGCATTCTCCCCTTCGCCTTCATATTCCCACCACTGCCGCGGGCGGTTCCCAGGGGAGATAGGATCGGATCGGATGGTGACAGGAGAGCCCACTTCCCTGGCTCTGTTGGGTGCGGCTATGGCGCAAGCCACAAGGCTTAGGAGGAAAAATAACTCGAGCTTCATCCCGGTTCCAGCAGTTCGAATATCTCAAACGAGGGCTGTTGTACTTGGCACGGGTTGGTATGAGATGAAATATCCTTTCGATAATTAGCCCAGAGAAGCTTTACAAAAGGTATCAAATACGGGAATAAGAAGATTCGGAACGAAAGCGACTCCTGCACTCTGTATGGGATAAGCTGGTTTGAAACCGTTCCTTATGTTGAACTGAGCTTTAATCGACCAGGGGAAACAGAGCACTCTGGAATAATACTGTGATATCATCCATCAACATAGGGGAACTCAGGAAGGGCTATAAAAGGGGCCATAATGGGCCTGGGGAGTACCGAGGATAAATATATAATAAAAAAGTAATCATGTTCCTGGAGGCATTATCTCCCAGAAGAAAATAGAACACGAGAGCACCAAACGCCAACGTGGCTAGGCCATGTGAAATGAAACCCCAGCATCCATCCTGCCTACGCGGTAGATGGAGGGTCAGCTAGGCAGATGCGTTTTCTGCGGCTTGACCTGAAGCCAAGGGAGGAGAACTACTACATGGTATGTACCAACCATGGCTCGAACGTAGGCCTGATAGCCAATAAGGTGATAGTATTCCATTTTGAAAACGCTGTGTATGGAGAAAGGACAGTCTGCACGGAGTAAACCAACTGGATGTTGACTCTGGCCTTGGAGGCTGGGTTTAGAACCTGGGCTTGCGTATTACAAGCTGCCGGCTCGGATCGACAATCCAATTTTTTGGACCCATCGAGGGATGGATCTCACATGGAGGAAACGGAAGCTTTGTCCTTGCCTCTGAGTGGCTCACATGCTGTGTTGAGACCAGGAATACCAGAGCTTATAGGCTAGTTAATAGCTGATCACGTATCACCGATGTCCCAGGTTGTATGTGGATTATTGCAGGGTACAAGGGTCTGTTGTCTGGACTCCCCTCGCCACGGCGGTACCCAAGACATCGACCAGATATGTTATATTTTCTTGCCATTGGCCTTTTTTGCGATCGTTGAAGGAACCAGCGGCCGGTTGATATGGCATCCTGATGACTCGCTGTAGCCCGCTGATATCATATGACGTTGATAGGCCTTGTGGCTGGCCTAACATATTTAAGTAGTAAACTAGTCAGCCCTACTCCCTGACCACCATAAAGACTGTTGACTCTGTCCAACTGATTCTTCTGTTATGGCATTTTTTGGGGATTGAACATGCCCACCTTTCTGAGACAAACGACCCCGAGGCGGAGAGGGAAGGCATCATACCGCGCAACAGGGTACTTCCTCATCCCCGAGAACCCGAGCCTGGCGGCCATTCTAGCAGTCTTACCTGGGCCTTGCAGTTATTCAAAGACCGGACTTTGGCATCTCAGAGAAGCGCTGGCCGCTTCCGACTCCAAGGAAATTATGGGAAATCAAGTGACTGAGATAGGGTGAGTATTCAATAGAACATTGTATCAGGAGATGGAAATCTTCGAACCTGCAGTGATTGAAACTCCGGCACAGAGAATTCTGTCCTTCAGTGTGCTCCATGGCAACCTTTGGCGTTGTTCTCTGTAGAATCGAGAGCTCTTCAAATATCCCATTTCCTAGCATTTCTCCTATAGGTCGAGAAAACAGCACATGTCATACCAAGCGAGCCATCAAGGAGATGGTATGTCTTCTTGTGGTCCTCTAATATATCCTTCTATGTATTCAGCCTCCAGGCTGTGAAGTGAAGTTGATACCTCTATAGGAGTCTCTGTGGCATCGCATACAACTTCATATATATCTTCATGGTTCCAACCGGAGAAAGTGAATGGAATGAATGGCCAGTCTCGGCAACCTGAAAGGTGCTTTCCTTCCTCCCTTGTTCCAATCTTTGTTGATATTGACATCAACATAAAAAACCATCTTATCAGTTTCCACTAGCCCCAGTCAGAGGAGATATCAATTTATTTCATGACTCTTCTCTGTACCTTTCTACCTTTTCTCCTTTAGAAGACAATTAATCAATATTGATGAACATGCTTGAACAGTGGCTTCAACATGAATACGCTCCTCCTACAGTGGACAACAAGGTCTTCAAGCTACCTCTGGTCCCAGAGCCAGCAAAGCCTAAACAGTTCCCTTACCGTGATAGACAGGATATCGAGATCATCCTTCGTGGCGGGAAGTCGGGCCAGTACGCTCGACTTTGCAAGGAAAACGCGGATCTCGAAGTCTCATTCAATCCAACTGATGGCAACTTTACAATAACTGAACGCGTTCAGGACCCGCAGGAGCCATGTCACTATCTAGAAGTGATCGTTCATCTCAACTGCAGGAACTCAGAGCTGCTAGATATAAAACAGTTCTCTGAAACTACACTCCTCATAGCATTTGCCGTCGCGGATGGGAAGCGTCCTTGGATGGAGTATCGCCAGTCTGGATTCCAAAGTGCCCGCCTACCAAGTCTACTTAGCCAAGCTATCAAAGCAAAATGGCCGATCAGCTATATCAAGGTCCTTCTTCCACTTTCAAAACATCCCCGTAGCTGGACCGCGGTTCTCACTCTTATGACCTTCAAAGGGGTCGATAGAAAGGATTTGAAGGAGGTAGAGGACCTATACAAGGCGGTGGAACGATGCCAGAATGAACTGTTCGGTATCAGTCAGCGGCCCGCGCGTGCTGGCTCACTGAAGGATTTGATTGATGAGGAAGAGGCAATTCGCAAACATATCAAGTTAATGAACCCAAAGACTAGGGCAGTGTGGATAAAGCATTACGAACAGCTGGTTGATGATATTGCTATTGCTCAGAAGCGAACCATGTGGTTGAAAGAGTCAGACAGGTTGGCAAGAGAGCAAGAGGTCGTTTACGAGAAGGTTGAACTTGACAACTAAGATAGTGACTTTCTCCTGCCGTCGTGTTTTATTGAGTTTGCATCTTATACTCGGGGGTTGAGACACCACAAGGGGATGCGATGATTTTTTATGAGTTTACTTGTACTTAAGATACCCTTCTCAATGCTACTGCTTTATTAAATTCCTTTACCGATCCAGGATCCATGGCAAATACCATTGACTAGATATAAACAGCCTATTAGTAATGAACACACGTAAAGGCTTAATGTATTTGCACTTCCAGATCGAGTGGAGTTATTGATTTATGCTATTCTAAATTTAATTAGGATTGAAATTGCAGGGCTGTTCTACTCCCAAAACCACCCAATGATAAAAAGTAACAGCGATCGACGCTAGGAAAGAAGATAGAAAAGGGTGTGGAAAAGGCACCCTGCAAAGAAATTGGAGGTCTTAATGATGAGAGATGATCTCTGGGAATATGACATTATTTATACAACGGACCTTTCGCCGCACGACTCTCCGCATCCAAAATTTTTTTTTTTTTTGAAAGCGGAAAATTCAACTTCTTTTCAACCATAGGCTGGCAACTTATCGCTTGTTGTTACCGCCTCTCAATGCCAGAATCTGAACCATCCGGACGAAGATGTTGATAAAATCGAGTTCAAGGCTGACACTCTCGTTGACAACATCTCTTCGAACAATGCCTCTCTCAGCCAAGCGGGCATGGTAGAGGATCTTCTGGATATCGTAGAGGGTGAATCCACCGAAGACAGCAAGGCCTCCATATAGCCAGATACGTTCAGACCACATAAGAGTTCGTGTGGCAGTAGCCGGCAGGACGAGGGGAGCGAAACCAGATAGAGCAACGATGGCAACACCGGCAAGAAGGGGGCCACCAAGGTAAAGGTATTTCTCCTGTTTGGCAGTAGCACCGACAAAGGCAATAGAGCCCATCATGCCCACGGTGTAAAGGCCTGCACGTCCAAGGATAGCAGGGGACATGAAGAATAGAGGTGCGAGAACAGCGGCTTGGGCAAGGTTAAATCCAGTCCACAGAGCATACTTCTGGACATAACTATGGCCATGTTAGCATATATTGTACATTCCATTGTTTTGTAAAAATATTGTGTAACACTTACTTATCTGGTGATGTGTAAAAAGTTCCGTACATGGTTCCAATGCTGGCCACCAAGCTGGCACCGACAACAACCCATGGGTTGGTTGCCATAAGCCGGTATGACCATCCGCTGGTGTGGAGGGCACGGGCAGCAATACCAATAATCCCGATACCAAGGCCTGTATGCATGAAAGTCTCGTTCAAGAAGCTTCGCTCGTACGGACGCATTCCGCCATCCTCTCTTGTTTCCCGATTAAATATGAAGTTGGTTGCCACGATAGTTCCACCGACGATGGCAGCACCATATATCAGTTTTTGAGTCATATTGCTAGTGTCACCAGCGGTAGGCTGATACGCCTTTTGCATGTATGTTCGTCGGAAGGCATCCTGAAACGACTTGCGCGCTTTACTGAGAGGTGATGAAGAAGGGAGTTGAGATGATACTCGGCCGGCTGACGAAGAGGGCTTGATAGGTCCGTTATGGATAAATCGGATGGTTGACGAAACTGTTGTTGGTTTGGTGACCTGTTTAAGTGCGGCCGATACGGCAAACGGGCGACGGAGGACGAACGCCATAGTGTATCCCTATTATCGTATCTCGAGAATGGTCTATGATGACGGTATCGTCAAAAAGCGATGAGGTTTGCTCTCTTTTATATCGCCAAACTTGATGTCGCTTCAAAAAACCCGAATATTCCAGAAATGGCCGGATTAGTCATTATTCACGTGACTTGATGATCTCATCGTCGACTTTTTTTCGGAGTTTAGAAAAAGTAGAAGAAGACGAAGAACAAGAAGACAAAAGACGGCGGAAGACGGACTCCAGAAGGTCTCTCGAAACGCATAACTCCGTGAAGTTGTCGGGTTTTCTCTTTAGCTTATAACTGTTCTCGCCGCACTTCACATTCTGTGACGATGTCACTTCTACAGACTATCCATCTCGCCCATCTCCCGCCCTCGTTAGTAGTCCATGTTGCGCTCTATCGTGATGTGAAGAACTCCCCGTTTCTAAGGGAGCAGCTTATTTCTGCAAACTCCGCTTATGAGTACGCTTTTATTGATGCCAGAATGGTACGATATTTGAAACTAGCGCGCTAGATGTCCAATATCACGGTCGAGTGGCTCGAAAATGTTGACGCTTGTGCCAAAGTAGATACTTTCGACCACCCATGCCCTTTCGGCTGCATTTAGAGCAATAAACGACTACGAAAATAAACGGTTAAAGTCAAGAAATGTGCACTCGGAGATAGTGTTCGCCTTAAGCCCGAACAATAATGTTAGTGGCTTCCCTGGCTGATATCAAGAACATGCTGCGAGTCCAGAAAGTGTCAGGTTAACCGGTATTCTGTCATAACATAGATTGCGGATGCCTTCCGCCGCTTTGGGATAACGGACTCGACTAAGGACCTCCTTGTGATGAAGGTCAGCACGTCTCCAGAGATCACACGTGAGAGCGTGTCGAAACATCTAGGAGAAGCGATTGAAGGCACTCCTGTGGCTTTTGATGACGCAGCCTTAAGCCAGATCACAGATACCGCAAGGATACAGAAGGCGTATAAGTTATCAAGCTTGTCGGAGCAGACACTACCCAAGAAGCTAGCGAGTGCTTTGGGCAAGGAGGACGCCGAAAAGGCCCACAGGAAACGGCTAGAGATATCTGTTATCGGAGCTATCGCTCTAAGAGGTTCATGACTCATGAGCTGTCGTTTCTACTAACTAGAATAACTTTTATGCCCTCGATTTTATCACCTTTGACAGGCCTGGGTGCCTACCTGGAATTCAGCTTGTGGATGCAAGCCTCCTTTTCAACCTAGGAAGCTCTACGGAGTACTACTAGTTATATGGCATTCAGCCCCGGAGATTACCCAAAGTGGTGAAACTCTTGCTCTCGAACGGTTCGGCTGCGCTGATCTGAAGGCGTAGGTAGATCGTGTATCGCTTGTTTAAGCTGTAAACAGCCAAATGAATATCTCTAGCACCGCTCTGTATAATTCTCATCTCATGATGCTGCTCTTCCTCGATACAAACATGAAGTCTGCCGTTGCTGTGGCTACCAGCTTGCATCGTAGTTCTAAATAAAACCAACGCCAAGACTAGGAACTTCCTACAGCCAAAAAAAAAAAAAAACGCGACTCGAACTAGAACTTAAGACGATATATGTATGAGAGCAAGGGAGAAACCCTTTGACACCTCTGCATATACTCATATACAGATATACTGATGACCGATCATGGCCCTGACGCCCTTGATGCCTTCTCTCCGCCGCGGGTTGGATCAGCAAGCCCTGTCGTTATTTCCCTAGTCTCTCCAGCTTTGACACAGATGACAGTGACACCGATTGATAACTCTCCAAAGCTACCTTTTAATCTCGCCCAAGGCTTAGAATCCGATCTAGAGAGCCACAGTGATGCCAGTAACCCCTTGCATCCGAACGTCAGCCACCCAATGACGAGGGTTGCCCTGGGGGAAAAGGCGGGCGCAGAGAACCTACCGGTTCATAGGACGAAGAGACGGAAACTCGGAAATCAGCGTGATAATACAGCTGAAAGTATGGAAGACCTGGTCGATTGCTCACGAAATCACTTTCAGCCAGCGGAAGATGAGTCCACAACACAGAAACAAAAGACGAGAAAGCCCGCAAAGCCGTCCGAGAAGGGCCAAAAATCGGAGAAAACAGCCAATCTAAGGCTGAGAGGGAAAGTGAAGAAGGCATCTGATACCCAGGTATTGGTACCAATAGATAAATCTGCCCAGGATCCTTCTCAAAAATTTGCTTCACAGCATAGAGCAGATGAAGAGAATGGCGGACTGCATCTTGAAGAAGCTACCTCACGAAGGGATTATTGGACGCCCATAAAGGACACAAATTCAGCCTCTATTGATTTAACAGGATCTCCGGTCTCTATTCAAGCTGATAAAGCCCAGGCTAAAAGCAAAGATTTCAGGGAACTGATGTCTGAATTCAATTTTTCCAGAGAAACTTCACATGAAGTAGAAGCTGGTTGCCAGCTTGTTAACGATAAACCAACAACAAAACAGCTTTTAGAGGTATATTTTTGCTATAGACAAGTATTAGATACTGCCTTGCTGACTAGTTATTTAGTTCATGCCACAGAACTGCCGTACCAGCAAATCTTTGGACTCAGAGAGCCTTGATACAGGCACATCCAGTACTTCTGAAGGAAACGGCAAACGTAAACAAACTAAGAAGGCCAAACGATCTGCCAAGTCAAAAATTACAACCATTACGTCGTTAACTACGGGGCGATACGAGTCCTCTCTTGCTCCAGAAGGCGACCATATTCCTTCTTCACTGGTCGATAACATGGTGGAATCGATCCAACCTGCAGAAAAGGCTCCCTCAAACCGTAAGAATACAAAGCCAAAATCCAAAAAAGCCATTCCTGGAAGGGCTGAATGTTACGCTCTATTAAAGCCTGCGCCTACAATGGAAGCCCTCAAAACTATAGAAAACCAGGCACTGCTCTTTGGAACGTCTAGTCAGCTGGAGAGGGAATCCAGCCCTAACGTGTATGGCCTAGAGCCTGAACTGGGGCGCGATGAAGTTAAGAGTAACTCAATCCAGAATATATCAAGTGAGCCTTCTACGGGCATGGGAGTTTCGAGATTTTCAAAATCCAAAAACCTGTGGGGAGCAAGCTCTCGTGATCTAGATGGTTACCTGTTGAATGTTGACATGATTGATCTTGTTGATCCAACCCCAAAAATAACACCCAAACCTGGGGATGAACGGCAGAGCAATCTCAGCAACAAGAACACAGAGCGTAATATCCCGGAAGAAAGTTCACTATTAGGTGAACAAGTAAATGCCAAAGATGTTGAACTGCCAGATTGCTTAGCCGGTGAAATTAGCACATCTGATACTATGCAAAACTCTTTCGAATATTTGAATACCACCAACAGCCAAGATGGCCCAGTTGATGATTCTATGCCGAACTATGATCAGCTCTCAACCCCAGAGCTCGCAAAGAAACTGGCTTCTTTTGGTTTCAGGCCAATTAAGAAGCGCGAGAGGATTATAGAGCTTCTGGAGAAGTGCTGGGAGAGCAAAAGAAAATCTTGCATTGAACCTACGACTAAGCCTGCAATATTGAGTACACCACAAGTTGTTATTCAACCCATACCCCCAAACGCCAATTCTAAATTTATGGACTCTGATTCTGCTATAAAACCTAGTAGTGTCCCTCCTAAAGGGACAAGGAAGCCGAAAAAAATCACGTCTAAGGAAATAACCAACCCTGCACGAAGCAGTTGGTCTACAGCTAAAAACCTGAAGTCCTCGTCTAAACCCACAGACAACATGCCAGATTCTATGGGTAGCCAATCCTATGTTCAACCTGAGATAATAGAAATAGAGGACTCTACCGACGAAAATTTATTAGAGTCATCCAAACAGCCGAGAGACTACAGAGGCGCTCACACCTTGGCTTCTCGCTCTGCATCATCTCATATTACTCCCCAAATATCCTCAGCACCCTCGCAGACAGTTCCCATTCAAACTAGAGCAAGTGCTGGCACAAATGAGAAAGAAATCGTTGATCTTCCTGACATATTTTTACAAATCACGAATGCTGTCAAGGCACAGCCTCGAATTCGCAGCGTCAACGGCGTAAAGCAACCGACATGGCATGAAAAGATTGTCATGTACGATCCTATTTGGCTTGATGATCTTACTTTATGGTTGAATGTGGAAGGCTTCAAACTTATCAAAGAAGATCGAGAGGTCCACCCATATTTGGTGAGAGAATGGTGCGAAAGCAAAGGCATTTGTTGCTGTTTCAGAAATAAGAAATAACCATATGTACTTATACCCCGTTCTCTCTTCTTTTATTTTTGGTTTTGAGCACGGTACGATATTCTTGGGCATATTTTTGGGAGCATGCATATGAAATGGCATGATATTTGATGGGTTAGACCACTGGAAGGTTGGTCTTTTCGACGAGATTCATTGGAGATTTATAATAAGCTAGCTGAAGGAAGCACAACAAAAATCGAAAGAAGGGAAGAAGTTTACAAGCAGACATGAACGTTTTCACGACTCCGTTTCCATGCAGGTATAAATGTAAATTACTCTTAGCTAACCTTAACAAGAAGTTAAGGGAAACGGCTGGTATGAAGGAAATATGAGACTTAACTCCCACTCACCCACTAACTCTCGGTTGCTGCTTTCAGATATCCGGGAAATAGTTAAAGTTGTCAGGGGAATCTTGGGAAGGGCCATTGTCTCTTTGTTGTACACCCGATTGTTGTGATTCTCCCTGCCCTTGTATTTGGCTCTGGCCATGTCCTTGTTGGGCCCCTTGCTGTTGGGGTCCGTGCCGATAAGCCTCTGGGTTAACTTGTTGGTGAGGCGTCGGCATTGAGTCCCGACCAGCGTAAGGATTAGTGGCCATCGATGTATGATATAAAGGGAATTGGGACGGTCTAGTTATTGATCTGAATTGCGTCTGATTTTGCATCGTGGGTAATCCCGATGCCGCAGATTGGCCTATTTTATATATGTTAGTCACATTATATCTAGTTTAACAGGATTCATGCCCATACGCCTGCTTTGTGGGTATAGCACGGGGAAACCCTGTCCTGGTTGCTGAGCCGCTTGATGAATTGCTTGAGCTTGAGCTTGAGCTTGGGCCTGAGCCTGGGCAGCTTGTAGAGCTTCGTACGATGTATACTGACTTTGTGTTCCCTATAAAAGTATTATTATAACATGAATACAACAAAAGAGTTGTAGCCACTTACCATCCCCATACTAGGAGTTTGTGAGCTGCTACCTTCAAGAGCAGGGGCATTCAATACGTTATTGATATAATCTCGTAAGCTGGCGTTTTCTGCACGTAAAATGTCGTTCTCAGAAGTGAGCCTTTCATTGTCAGCTCGTAGCCGCTCTAGCTCTCCACGAGTATATGACACTCGAGTTATAGGGTCAGTTTGTGTGCAGGGCAGATTCCCAGCAATGCAATTTGCGCAGCCTGTAGAATTCGAGTCACACTTCATTTTTCGCCCCTGTATCAACATGATTTAGTATGTTTCCAATTAGCTATGAATCTAGGGGAATATTTTGTATGTTGGAAAGGATTGAAAAAGGCTGGGGATTGATGGTGAAGTATAAGTGATATAAACTGAAGGCAAAGGTCTGAGAAGGCCAAACAGAACGCAAGGTATGTAGTGGAGAGCAGAAAATAGAAATGACATGTTCTTGGTCAAATTATTCGTGGTGTCCTGATAAAGAAATATAGGTCAGGTATTATGGGATAACTTTTGATAGCTCTGTTTCCCTGAATGAAAAACACAACAATGGATTCAGAAAAATACAGCACAAAGTCGCTTGATTCCCTTCTTGCCTTTAAAGGTCTAAGGGAAAAGATATAGTGGGCGTTCAAATGATAGTCAGGGGATGGGGAGAAATGATTAATCCCACAAAAATACGGAAACCAGCTCACCTTACAGCGATCGCATGCCTGGCCAGTACGATTAGTTGTAGACATTTGGTCCTGGACCATCTCAGAGTAGTTTGGCTCAGGGCTATTCTTCCCTCGTCTCTGTTTCTTGGGACGGCGAGCAGGAGCGGTGGCTCCTGTTGTTGATATTACCGACTCTGTAACTGGCACCTGGCTCATATCCTGTGCTTCAATAACCTCTTGTTGCCGGGGGCCTTCCTGGCTATCATTCCCTTCATCTAATACCTGGCTTTCTTCCCAAGTCTCTTCCTGGAAATTATCATCTTCCTCTGAAGGTCGTTTGAGTGGTGCAGACATAGCTACTTATAGAGGATAAGTAGGTCAATGTATTAGTTCTGGGAATGTTGTGGTTCAGAATAGCAGTTTGATGCTAGCCAAAAGGATGAATAAAAATAGATTTCTGTGGAATTCGAAAATGGCTGAAAATTGAAGAATGGCAGGATGAAGACGTGATAAATAATGAAATTTATCACCAGTATATGAGATGTCTTGGTGTATGATAGGTTTAAGAAGGAAATAATTGTTGCCAGGATGCGCAGAAACACAGTATATGTACTGAAGGGTTCTCCTTCATCTCTTAAACTGTATCATCATGGTACTGTGCAAGGATAAAAAGAGCCTTCTTCGGCTCTTTCCATACTGCACACAAATAGAACAGTCTTTGGAGCCAAAAACGACGGAAATTTCCATGATAAATAATGCTAGTGTAAACTGCTAGGCCCTAGCACTCTTTCATAGAACGACCGTTCGAGAAACGGCCTTTTGTACTCGTTGACTTTTCAATTTTAGGTCCTCTGCTAGTCTTCAACTATTCACGGGCCATTAAAAGAAAGACAATGTCGAAAAGAAGCTTGCTATATTATCCATTGGGACAATATACTGTTCTTGATGGCAGGATCCTTTCAGAGTATCAAGGAAGAGTCGCTTTGATTTTCAACGAATTCAAATCAAAGGCTCAATAGATCCACCCTCACTCGATCAACCGAAGAAACGAATATTTTTTTCAACAGATAGATCATTACAATGAACAAATGATAAATGGTTCGAGCCACTTTGTTTTTGCAACTCTTGCAAGAAAGCGGGCTGAGCTTGGGGATAAGGGTATACTCGACGTGTTTGTTGCTTCCGCTGCGCATTCTAAATCTTAAAACGGCGAGTTGTATAACGGCCTTAGGCCTGCGTCGCTAAAGCTTCAGATATTTTCTGTAGATGGTGGCGAAGAAGTATGTAGATGGGTCGCGTCGGGCGGCGGGAACGACACGACTGTGGCCCACGACAAACAGATGAGCTGTGACAAAGAAACGAGTATTTTCTTGCCAGTGTTTCGACCTTGATCTCATGTCGGACTCTTAGTTTTGCTGATGTATTCTTTCATGTCCGGCATATGAGCTGTGGTCGTGGAATGGATATAAAAGAAAACTGCTAACTATGCCCAAGCTGCAGCTGCGTGGAGAGTAGGGGCCAGCGGGAATATTATGTTGTGCATTAACTATAACCCCAGCGGCAGCAAGTAGCCTCGAAAAGTAGGGACATATGCCATGGAGAAAATAATATGAGAATACAACCATGAACCACGAAAGTGGATTGCGAATATAAATAATCCTGGCGATGTCGAAAAGCCGCGAAGACGTCGAGTCTGCTTATGTAACACCCGCTTTTCATCCAAAAAGACTAAGAGAACGTTTTCCATCCAAAGTTGTAGGTAATATCAGATTATATACAAGAAACAGAGCAAAAGATCTATTTACCTAGCTGTGTCAATGCTAACAAAAACCAATATACGATACTTAAATATGCCACTTGCACAAGCAATAGTAAGCAGGTTTCGCTCAGCCATATTCAAGAATCACTGGTATACCTCCCTTTTTTTTCTAGACCCCCTTCTCTCACACTCCCATGCATCGCCTTAAATGGGGTCTTATACCACATCCTCTCTCATCTATCTGAACGCCAACTTAGAGATAGAGACAATCTCCTTTGATGCTAGGTAAAAGGGGGGAAGAAATCAATAAAATGGACAAACAAAGCAGAGGTTGGAGAAAAATAATGAAATTGTGTAAATGAAATGGTATGCACGTTAAATTTTTTTTTTTCAAGATAGAATATTCAATCGTATCGTTTCGGGGTCGTTATATCATATGTTAGATGCGAGGCATGAAATCAATGGGGGAAAATTGCGAGGTAGATAGTAAGCCAGAGAAGGGTAAAAAGTACAACGGGGGTATTTGAGGGGCGAAGGCAAAGCCATCATCCCGTGAAAAGGAAGCGAAGAAGGGAAAAAAGTAGCAGAAGGTTAAAAAAATGACAAGAAAAAGGGGTAAGGTATGAATCCGTTATGAGGTCCAACCATATATCTAATTCCCAACAAAGTGTACGAAGAAAGACAGTTGAAAGTAGAAAAAAAAGAAGAAAAATAGATAAGCCAGATGGACAGCACATCATACAGCACAATGGTGAATCATGGGATAAAGAGACCACAAGCAACAACAAGAGGTCAATGGTGATGAGTCTGTTGCAGGTAGACAGCTCAAATATTCTTGCCGAGAGGGAAGTGTAGTATGGTAGTGTCATCGGGCTCCCTTGCCATTATGTGCAACGGTAATGAACTGAATTCTGCCTCGGTATCGGTTCTGGAGGCTGTACTCTAGCCATGGAGCGAGATTTTTACATTGGCTGACATCGAGCAGGTTAAGCATTGAGCACCCATCAGCTACGGCCTCGACTCCGGTACCTGTAACGCGGACGCAGCCGCGGACAGATAACTCGCGGAGGTTGAGTAGGTGGAGGCCGATGGAGCGTAATGACGGATCGGAGACAGCGGAGCCACAGAAAGAGAGATTCAAGTGCGTTAGTTGAGGACAGCCGAGGGCGAGGACCTCTGTAGCAGTGTCAGAGAGGGCGCAGCAGAATGACTATAAAATGGTCAGCATATTGTAAACCTTTGTTGAGCAAGAACAGTTGGAGCTTACCAGGTCGAGTTCCTGCAGGCATTTTGCGCTATTGGTCAGATAGACGATGGCGTTATCAGTTAGATAAGTGCAGTCTGCGAGGCAAAGCTTCCTCAACCGGAGAAACTGTGCATTGCCCCAGTACTGGAATCCCTGATCGGTAATGGTTGTACAGCGTGTGAGGTCAACTTCTTCAAGTCGGGATGCGGCGTGGGAGGCAATATGGTGCATCGATCGGTCTGTGACATGCTTGCAATACGATAAAGTTATCTTCTTTAGATAAGGGCAGCCATAAACTGTTCCCGCGGCAGGCTGATTTGGTTGTACTGCACTACTATGCCCGTATTTTGAATTATGCGGAGTCCTGCCGTTGACATAGTTCTGGTTCTGTTGGTGTGCCGGTACAACCCACCCAACAATCCTTGCTAATAACGTATCGCTCACTTTTCGACAGTTACTTAAGTCGATCTCTTGCAGCGATTTAGCATGGTTCGTCATGTCCAGTATCGTAGGCGCTGTGACATCCCAGACACTTTTCATTTTCAGAACGCGCAAATTGGCACCACAGGTGTTGGCGAGAGCCGAGAAACCCTCATCAGTAACATGGAAGCAGTTGTTAACATCAATAACACGTGGTCTGTCTCCAACGAACGGGCATATGATACCGGTAATGATCTCATCAGTAATTCTGCGGTTGTAACGGCTTAGGTCTAGGAAATGCAGAAGGTGAGGAGATTTGGAGACTATCTCACACCACTGTCGTGAGACACCGCGGAGACGTAACAGCACATGTAGCTCGAGATACTGAAAAATCGAAACGAGAATGTCATTAGATAATATTCCGCGATGGCGGATGCTGTCTCGATGTTTCACAGGCTTGGTCTGGGAAAGGCAGAAGGACGAGTTTGCAAAGGGAAATGACTGTGCATACTTGTTGGGTGAGGGGGTCCGGGAACGTGAGTTGACACTTGTAGACTGAGATTGGGACTGTTGGTCTGGTGCAGTATCTTCCGGTATAATAGGAGCAAGGGAACCTCGTCGCGAGCGGGATCGAACGTTATCCAATCCAACACTCAAGAATGGGTCTGGGTCAGAGGGTTTCACTACAGATTCGTCTTCCAGTCTGTTGGATTTGTGTAGAGACTCCAGCTCCGTTTCCGAGAAAGTAAGAAGGGGCATAGACTGTCTTCGGGCAGAGAACAGTGCCTGGCTACCCGGTGTAAATGACTGCTCCGCGCTGGGTGCGTCTTCCATTACTACATCTCCATCACTGGCTTCATCAAGCCTGGTCCTTGCAGTTCGTTCGACCTGATCTCTGATATCACTCGGGCATCGAGCCCAAAACTCCGAAAGGACTTCACCGCTTAACATCAAACACTCAACAGCAGACACTGAGCGCACCGTAGCTGTTCTTCGTGGGGCAAGTGATAGACTGACGACTTCACCAAAGTATTGTCCCTGTTTTAGCCTCGCCTTGACTTGCACGTTGCGTGAATCTTCCGCATCAGCGACACGTCGGGGACTTCTGACAGGGTCGCATCTCTCGTTGAGAACCTCGACTTCGCCACGCACGATGAAGAACACTTCTCTTCCCTGTGAATTTTGTCGAATGATGTCGGTGAATGGCGGGTAAGTCCGTGGTTGTGCATTTAAACCCAGGAAATGAAGGATATCTGGTGGTAAATCGGCAAAGAGCGGGAGCTCCCTTAGCAGCATCCGCACGCTAACGAGGCCGTTAGCCAGGGCACTAGACGTGGGGACATCCTGACAGCTAGGACTTGGAGATTTGCGCTTCTTACTGAAGCTGTTGGTATCCCGGTGATCATCGTGATGGAAGTTTAGACCGTCCGCGATAGTATCTCGTACTCGCTTCGTCACTCGCTTTTGTCCAGGTGCGCTCATTTCTACAACTGCAGGCGGCGATTCCTTTTGTTTCTTGCGTTCCAGAATCTGAAGCCTCTCCTCCGCTTCGTCTCTAATGGCTCGCTCCACTTCGGGGAATCTTGGAAGGATGTTTCTAAAGTCCTCCTTGGTCAGGATTAGAAGCAAACAACGAGTTCGAGCAATGATGGTGGCGGTGCGAGGGCGATCCATCAAGACGCCTATCTCTCCGAAGAATGCACCTGGTTTCAGCTCTGCATATGTGCTCTCCCCATCTCGGGATGTTACAGCCACGGCACCACGCACAAGCCAGTACATGGCCTTTGCATCGTCTCCTTCCGTCAGGATGTAGTCGTTTGCAGAGTTTATCTGAGGCCGCAGATGGAGCCCTATCTCAGCGAGAAACGACTCTGGGGTCGACTGGAACAATGGAAAGGATCGTATTCGGTCGATTATATCAAGCGGCATACCACGTATCTGTGAAGCGGCCAAGGGTGACGGCCGCGCAGGGCGAGAAGGGTTCATTTCAGTATTGAAGGTGCGAATGGGAGACATTGGGTCGGGAACAGCTGTCGCTGGTTTCGCCGATAACGGCGATGCGCTCCCACGACCATGTCGTCTCATCTTGGGTTATCAAGCCAAAGTAAAGAGAAGGATGGAGGTGGTGAGATGAAAGAGAGAGCAAAAAAAGGGTACAACCTCTCGAGCGAATCGCTCCCCAGAGCAAAGATGTGATTATTAAATTATAATTACGATCCAGAAAACCGAGTTGGTAGGGCCAGGCGTTCACTTTGATATAGTCCGTATCCAGCAACGATTCATGGCGGCCGGTTCGTTGGTTCCAAAAGAGAGACAACAGAAAGCTTGGATGCGAGTGTTGGTTGAACAATCATTGACTGGAAGCCGAAACCATTGCTGCCGAAGCTATACGAAGAGGGCAAGAACCGGGACTGACACATTGATATTAGCATTGTATATTTATATTAAGAGCTTTAAGGGGGGGGGGGGGGGGGGCGTGGAAGATGCTAACCGCGCAAGGACGGCCACGACGATAGAGTTTCCGAACAGCTCTCTGAGGCCCTGGAGACCGTGCAAGGCTAGCCCCTGCTCTCTTTCAAAGCTGACTGAGGTCACAGTGGGAAGATTCCAGGCTGCAGGCCAAACTCTTGGAGCTCCCCGGAGCAGGGCTGTAGGAGGGAACGGAGCAAGCACGAGCCCAGCGAGACCAAGAATTGGGCGTTGAGAGCTGGAAGGCGACGCTCCCTGGCGTAAGACGGTGAGTGTGTATTCGTCGAAGCTATGCTGCTTGTTGGCAAGCCGTTTCTGGTGGACAAGAGCAGACGAAGAGGAGGGAAGAAGAAGAAGAAGACGAGAGTGAGTGAGGAGGAAGAAGTTGATGACGGAGGAAGAAAGTCAAGCGAAAAAAAGGAAGAGTAAGTAAGCAAAGCAAGGGCCACCACCAACGATCTCTTTTTTGTTTTTTTTCTTCTTTTTTTTTTTGTAAAAAGTCTTGGCGTTCCCGCGGGGCTTTTTTTTTTCTTTCTTTCCCCAGAGCTGGTCACGTGCAGGCGTCTTCTTTTTATCTTCTTCTTCTCTTCTTCTTCTTCTCTACAGTCGTGAGAGCGTTAGTTAGAGTACGGAGCCAGAGCACTGCTTTCTCCCTTCCGATGGAGGATTTCGCAGACATCGATCGGTGAGAAGACGGGCGAAGACCCCCCTGTGTTTCAACAAGCTCGCATTCTTCACCCTCTGCCGGTTTGTCATCGGCCTTCCCTAAACCCGGCCACCCGCTTTTCTAGAAGCTTGGCGCCGTGCTCCTTGCGCAATATCGCCCGTCGCGATCCCTGCAGAATTATATATTTACATCGCAGTTCCCCAACTCCAAACCTCCCCCAAACTCACCTGATGCGCTGGCGAAGTCTCTCGCCCGGCACCCTATTGGCCACGAGCCCTTGCCCAAGCCACGGATAACGTCTCTCTTCATTAGGGTGGACAGGGCTCCACCTTTGCAGAACGATTCGATTTCATAGCGTTTGAGACGAGTGCTTTTTTTCTGCTGTATTTGTATTTCGAGGCTGGAAGCTTATACGGACGCGGGTTCTCCTGGAGTACCTACCCGGGGAGAACTCGAGTAGTGTGGAGAGGTATTACTGACTTCGTACTCTTCGACAAGACGTTAAAGCATACGGTTTCCCGTAACACCGTTATGGACGGAGAAGCTATATATTTCCAGCTCCATCAAACGTCACGTGGGGAGGTACTGAAGGTATCTAGGCATTCGAGGACGAGCTGTGACTCTCAAGGGCATGTTTACCCTTGAGAGCCTTCTTGTTCATGAACCCGAACTTTAACTGTGGCCAATGGACAGAATCATATGCTGAGTACTCCTTTATACGCTGTATGCAACGATATAGGGAGGCAAAATTTATCGCCTAACCCCAGCCACTTTTGGTGTTGCCACAAGTCACCATCAGACCGGCCATGTCTGGCAGATACTCCCAGGATGAGAGTCTCCTCCCCTGCCCGTCCTTGTACTGGCTGTCACACCAACTCTAACCCTTGTTGCTGGTGTCCGGGGAGCGCTGTTTGCTAGGAGAGCCCGCAGCTCGATTTAGGTATATCACGTTGTAATCAGGGGAAACAGCAGACGGATAGATCGATATCTCTCGACAGAGGGAGGTATTCCTTCCATATCCGCGGAATTTCTATATTGTACACCGATATGGAGGCTCTCGACGATGTCATAGATATATCCGTATTTGCAGCAGTACAAACTCCAAAACAGCTGTTCATATATTATAGTCTCTCATAAACACCGTAAACATCTCAAGGATCTCTGTTTCAAATTTGATTCGGCTCCCTTCCGAACTATTGGAAAGCCGCGGCCACAGCACAAAAGCCCATGGATGTTATCTCTATAGGAGACAGCCAAGCAGTGCAGAGCCGCACGCTGCATCCATGCAATGTAACTTGAAGTAGGATATCCACTAATCCTATTCTACGGCATAGAGGCAGGAGAGGCTAAGACCTTACTATTTGCACATGGAAAGAAACTACAAGAGTGGATGAACACAATACCAAATTCCGTTAACATAAGCAAGCTGATGGGGCCCAAGAAATATCTGAGATGGTAAACAAAGTAATAATAATAGTAAAACGAATAGAAAAAGAGAAAAGAAACGCCCACTCAATCCTCCTTCAAATTAATAGAATTGATACACAGCATACTGGTTAAAGGCGAGACATATAGCCAAGTGCTGGCGTAGCAAGGCCAGCCCTCTACTGATGGCCGCCCCCAAAGCGCTCGGTATTAGGCTAAGTGCCACGATTAATTCACCATAACGGTCTTCCACTATTAACCCATGGTCACATAAATACTCGAGTTGGCGCAAGCAAACACCAGAGTACACGTGAAGCTCATAGAGCTTTGCGGTACATGCCGGGCGACAGCCTGGTGGTAGTGGGATCGTGAGACTTGCAAATTCCCGGGAGTGTCCACAATGGCCGCGCGGGGATGTTCGTGAGCGTGATGACTCTCCGTAGTATGTTTCACGTCGAGAGTATCGCGTTCTGCTGGAGCTGCTGACTGGCATGAGGCTGCCATATGCTTCCTGATCACCCACGTAGGACCGTGATAACGGTACTAAAGCTGAACTAGAGGGTGTCGCATAGGATGCGACTGTTCTGTAACTCCTAGGTGTCTCGTATTCCCTAGATGACCCGTAATCTCTAGATGTTCCGATATTTCTAGACATTGCATACTCTCGAGGCTCTCGGCGTGAGGATGCTGGGGAGCGACGGAGATCGCGCTCCATATACTCTGGCGGCTTCTGGACATCTTCTTCGTCATCAGTGATAAAGTCCGGAGCTGGAGACTGGGAGCGTCCCGAGCTGGTTTCCTTTTTCTCGGCCATGGTGGTAGTTCTGAGTTGTAATATTATGTTGGTTTGCTGTACCCAGCCGTATTTCCGAAAAAAAAAGTAGTTGGAGATGATGGAAAGTGTCTGGGAAGTGGAGAGGAGTTGGATTGCCATCGAGGTATTTATGGGCCAGCTAGTTGGGGCACGCGGGTAGGTGTGACTTCCATAGACATGGTGAAGGAGAATATTCTCTAGAGCCATGGCCTTTCATTTAATTGCTCTCATGCCATGAGTGTTGCATTGCAACCGATGGGTATAGTGAAGAGTGCGATGGGGCTGCATGCCCGTTAACTCGCCTAATCGAGCCTTCACTACTCCAATTAAGAAGAGCTCGACCTGCCGAACATATTGAATGCAAATTGAATATACTGCGGTCGGTATCCTCGGAATGACGCGAACACATCCTGGAGTAGACCATAAGCCAGACTGAGCTTGAGTCCTACCTTCGCCGTTCGAGCTGCGGTATAAATGTCGTGACGGGCTACATGTATAAATGGTTACGTGAGTTAGCAGTCATTTCAAGCATTAATAACTACTCTTTTTTATCTTGCGCGAATGAGGGAAAAGCAGCACTCACCAAGCAAGCTGTAAACCCCAGAGAAGGACAGTCCGGCAGTGACTGTGGATAGAAAATCACGGTTTCCACGGGCATGATCAACAGTTTCTTCGAATATGCAGAATGCCACGGCACCAATTCCAACCCTCAATCCCAGCTTTGTGCCCTCCTTCAAGCCTCCAATCATGGATGTATAGTTCTTGCTTTTGTGGTACTGGTACCATCCGCTAGAGCTGGTAGGAAATCGGTGGGCATTTTCCGCACGAAATCGAAATGCGGCCTTTGTGCTCCCGTGAGAAGCTCCCAAAGCCATCCCAGAAGCAAATGCAGCCATTGCACTTAGCGGAAGACGGATGCCTACGTCTGTCCCAAGACGCGGAGGGTTTTTGTTGTCGAAAACAGCTGACAGAGCGCCGTCATCTTCCCGGGGTAGGATTTGTTCTTGCGAGGGCTCCATTATACCAATTGTTAGCTCTCTATCTTGTGTAAGTGACAGTGTCCCACAACAACACCTAGCAGACGTTGAAGTTGATACAAGAATAAATAGCTTGACATGTTTTTTTTATAGTTGACTAAGCTTGGCGACGAGGTAAGAATAAAATATTCTTCCGTTCCGTAGTTAGCTCAGCGTCTGAGCAACGAGCGTAACTTGCCTGTGCTGGTAATAATAAGTACTGTTTGTTCTCTTTTATATTTAGAACTAAGAGAGAATCAATAAGACTTTATATCTGCATCTAATAACTATTACTATACGTGAATCTATGCTTTAATCTATGGCTACAACAATCAGTCGAGGAGAGCCGATTCGCACCCAGCACATGTACAAAATAGTCTATCAAGACTATTTCTGTCACATCGAATTCTTATTGATCCGCGTCTATGGTTACCATTCGCCGCTGGTGCAATAGTTCCCCGTTGGACAGATGTCCTCAGAGGGCCTTTTTGTCCCTTTGGTCTCCTTGTTCCGAGATATAATCTGCCCATATCGTTCCTTTTGGCGCGGCTAGGAACTTACCTAGCGGAAAGGTCGTGGTAGCCCACCTTTTCCATACAAAGTCATTGAGTCAGAGAAGTCGGTTAAGATATAGACAATAAGCTAGAAGCAGAAGGAAAGAGAGGTGGGCGCTTTATGTATCTTGGCTCGCTCTCTTACCGTAGTGGCATCTCTGTATGGAGGCGCTGTTCATCTCAGGAGGAGCCCGAGACATCCAGGGATGCCATGGGCGCTTAACTACAATCAGCCTAATCAGAGTCCCAGGATCTGTGATGGCGCAGGATGCTCATAAATCCTCACAATCCCCCAGCCTTTTCAGGAAATATTAAAATATGGTTACAGGCCTAGGGCTTGCACCTGAATTTATCTCCTGTCACGGCTCTCCTAACGTCCCCCACGATGAGATCGTTGGCCTTGACTCTATTATCCCTCGTCTCTACGCTCTTAATATGCATCGCGGCAGACTCAGGATTTCTCATTCCTCCTAATGTTGGTGTTGAGAATAATTTCCGCGACAACCCGCAATATCGAATTGGCGAGGCAATAAACATAACATGGGCGACGGATATAAGTGTGGTGGATTTGATACTGGAAATACAGCTACCTAACGAAGCTGATGTCC